ATTTTATAATATAGAAAGCTGATTTTGTGGCCGGAACAATGGCCTATTTAAATAATAGATTAGCTATTAGCGACATGATTTATCCCAGCCATATAGACAACCTGGCGACAATTTTGTCTAGTGATGTCATGCAAAACCACAAATTCACTTTGCTCAGTTCATTTAATGCATTTACCTGGATCTTTATATTAATTTTATTTGTTGTTTGCATTATGGTTACAATTGTGTTATTATGGCTGTATAATCATTCTAGACTTTTAAATTTAACCGAGATGATTATATGCGTTTTGTTGGATTACATATTATCTATCACAGGAAAAGGTGAGTCTAAATAATGTTAGCTTAAACATTGTTATGGTTAGTAAATATTCATATTGCTTTTATTTTAGCTTCAATTAGCAAATATAATAGGATAACATCATTGACAAGCATTGTGTTTACCCTGTGGTTTACAAACTGCTTATTTTGGAACCAATTATTTGTTAATGAATTTCTATCCAATTTAGCGAATATACCGAAGCAATCAATAAATAGCATTCAGGATATCATCGACGCCCGGGATATACACGTGTATATAAGCAAAACAAGCCTTGTTTATAATAGTTATTTTAAAGTAAAAGATCATATATAATTACTAAAAATAATCGTAATTAATGATAAAATTGTTGATATTTATAGACAAAGTATCCAAAACTAAACTACAAACCATTAATACTAAGCAATGGTATGTTTTATAATACTAAAGGATTGTTGCATATTATGGCCGGAAATGCGGTTATTATTAGATCAGAAACAAGAATTGATGTAATAATGAATAGCAACCCTTCCCTACCCTTACGGAAGTCAAACGAAAACTCTTTGTTATCAATCGGTGGGGTATTAGTGAACAAAAGACTCGACAAACGGGTTAAACAACTATTTAGACAAAAGTATTTTAAATAAATATTTTGTGATTTATATTTAATAATTTCTTTTATATACAGACTAGTAATTTTGGTCGAAACAGGATTATTGAATCCAAAAATTAGTATTAATAACGTTTGTAAGAATAATAATACCATATTTTATTTCCAAAATAATTACACAAAACCTAAGATTAAATCTATGGACACAACAAATCTTTGGTCGAAACAGGATTATTGAATCCAAAAATTAGTATTAATAACGTTTGTAAGAATAATAATACCATATTTTATTTCCAAAATAATTACACAAAACCTAAGATTAAATCTATGGACACAACAAATACGTCAACATTTCAAACATTAAAACTCATTGATATTCACGTGTTTTTCTATGCGTTGGTCTCGGCTTTAATCATAGCATTCATTACATTATTGTGTGAATTATTACATCATTCAATGTTTTTAATTATACTTAAAATGTATTTTGAGAACTATTAAAATATTTTGAAAATATTAGTTGCATATATTTTATATACATGTATAATATTTTTCAAAACATTCATTACAACTAAATATTTAATATTTTATTTATATTTTCATGCAATTATTAATTCTGTTGTGCAAATAGTAAAACCTGTAGAAACTAAATAAACATTAATCTCACATAAAACCCAATCAATACAAATGATTTATTAGATTTCTATTCAATTATTATAAGTAAATCAATAAAAATGTAATATAAAATATTTATTTGTATATGTATTAAAATGTTGTGTATGTATTAATAAACATAAAACTTTACAATATTTACAACAAAACAATGTTTTTATTATATGAAAAATACAATTAGATTAATAACTAATAACAATATTTACTCAAACAGCCATTTTGACCAAATGATACAATGTTCAATGCTACCATAAGTATGAAACCATTAATACAATTGTAGATCTGTACTATACTAAAAATGTTTGGGCAATAAATAAATATATTATTATTTGATTATATAGTTATTAAATATAACTTGATTACAACCTTAAATTGTAACAAGTTTAGACAACAGATTTTGGTGAAAAGTACATTGTATAAAACAATCTATCTTATTTATACTAAACCACCATCATGGATAATCGTTGCGTATACTTCTCAAACATAACTGATCTAAACCAACCATCTGGATCTAATTGCACTGTCAGAGTTGTTGTTGCAAAATTATCCGTATGCTATAAATTATATTTATTTTATAACAATATTAATAATTATGAATTTATAGGGCCATGGATTTAATAATAATTTGTATATAATTTGCGATAAAATGTTGCTTATTACTGAGATATTACATAAATACATTAAATGCGGGTAATTATATTTTTATTAATAAATAAATATGCTAAAATGAGATAATCAATATAAACTCATACATTATAATATAAACTTTACATATAGTGTACAATTCATACCTACGAATGCAAACAATAAAACTTTTATCGGAGCTCTGGCAGCGCTATATTACGATGTGAAAATTAACCTTTTAACTTTATTTTATTTTAATAATATTATATCATTATTATATCACTTTATTTTATTTAATTGGTATACAGAAAGCTGATTTTAGTGGTGGTTCATTTATTTATTCAATAAATAGATCTGTTAGTAGCGAGCTCATTTATCCAAGTTTAGTTACCAACTTGTTAACTATATTATCGAGTGACATTCGCCAATACGGACAGTTGTCCTTGCTTAATTCATTCAACATTTATATATGGGCCACAATATTAATTATATTTATTATTAGTTTAGTCATAACAATTACTTTATCAGTCAGCAAACATTTTAATCTATTAAATCATAGTATTAGCTTAAATAATGTTATAATTTGCATTGTACTAGATCATATATTAGCAATAGTTGGGCGAGGTATGCTAAATCAATTTAATATTACTATAAATACAGCTATTTGTAATAGCAGATATTTTATTTCAGCTAGGATAAGCAAATATTTAAGAAATACAAGTTTGGCAACAGTTGTGTTTACCCTATGGTTTACAAACTGTTTATTTTGGGACCAATTGTTTGTCAATGAATTTTTATCCAATTTAGCGAATGTACCGAAACGTTCAATAAATAGGATTCAAGATATCGTCAACGCCCCGGATATACAGATTTATGTGAATAAGTTTATTTTTGTTTACAATGAATGGTTGAAGGTAAAATTGATTTTATTATGTCTTACTTACAAACACTACAATAAATAATTTTTATTTGCTAATAGATTAAACAACCAGGATTAAATTATAAGTTTATATCTCCACATATTATCCGCTTGAATAAATATAATATACTAAAACATATTATCACTGGAAAAGCCGTATATATTTTATCGGAAAGATATGTTAATTACATCGTTAAAAGCCATCCGACTATACCTTTAAGAAAGAGCAGCGATAACTCAATTCTAGCAATCGGTGGGCTATTAGTGAACAAACGGCTCGACTATAGGATTAAACAATTATTTAGACAAAAGTAAAATAATATATTATTAAAACTTAATTAACTCTAAATAATATTAATATTATTTGTATATTACTTCATAGGTTTATAATAGTAGCCGAAATGGGATTATTATTACCAATAAGGAAATTTAGAAGATTTTATAATGCAATTGAAATTATTATAAAATTAAACAATAGTAGTAATGATAATAATGTGAATGAATGGATGGACACAACAAATGCGTCAACATTTCAAACATTAAAACTCATTGATATTCACGTGTTTTTCTATGCGTTGGTCTCTCGTGAATATCAATGAGTTTTAATGTTTGAAATGTTGACGCATTTGTTGTGTCCATCCATTCATTCACATTATTATCATTACTACTATTGTGTGAATTATCACATCATTTATTATTTTTATTTTCATTTACTATTTATTTTCAAAATTATAATTATTAAGATTATAATATTTTTATAAATTGTAAATGATTATGATATTGTAACTAATTCTATTAACTACAACTGATTATAATAATTATTATTCCATTAGTAAATGAATTTTAGAGAAATATTTGCGTTTTTAGGTTTATATTTAATCTACTATCAATAGTGTTTAAATGTGATGCTAACAAATAAATTATCGTAATAAAATGTTGTAATAAAATGTTGTAATAAAATGTTGTAATAAAATGTTGTAATGTTGTAAAATGTTTAAAACGCAAACTGTCAAAAAATACACACGAACAATGATTAGTACATGGTGTACATTTCAAGGTTTATTGATAGTGGTAATCAATAACAATGGAAATTAACCTAAATCAATGATACAGATTATAATAATTATTGGTGTTGCAAGAACATCAAAATCTCCCCTGTATACTATGATACTATTATATAAAGTTCAATTACCTTAATGAAAATTAAATGCTTAATTCGTGATAAAGAACATTTGTATCCCGATTAAATAGGTAACACGATTAATCTTGGGAATTGTTATCAATTGTATTGGGAGTTACATCAACATTTTCAATTTAGTGAATGAGTGTTCAATACAGTTAAATGATAAAAAGTTTGTTTCTTAATTTTATATATAAGTAGGACTCGACTTACAAACATTCAATAAGTTAAAACCCATAACTACTAAACAGTTATTCTTAATAATAATTTATGTCTAAATTATTTAAAAATAACTATCAATAAACATTTACAATTAATACAAACATGCATTTTCTTTACGTACTATCAGTGGTGGCAATGGTTAGCGGCGCTCAAATCGATACCAAATATTATGAATACAGTATTGACGACTATATGAAAGTAAAAGAGTCGCGAAATTTCACGGGAAAAGTAGTTTTGACGACCGGCTCGTCGTCGGGCATCGGAGAGGGTATTGTCAAACTGTTTGCAATACTCGGCGCACATGTGGTCGTCACCGGACGTAACCAAACCGAGATCGACATTGTGGCCAAAGAGGTGCAGCAGTTGTCGCCCCACCAGTTAAAAGTAATCATCTATTTATAGTTTTATTTTATTAATTAAAAGTTGCAAATTAAATTGTAATTGTATGATGTATAAGACGTTATAAAAACATATTTACAAAAAATATGGTTAATTGTTTTGACAGCCATTGAAAATAAAGGCCGATTTGACCAAAACTAGTGAAATGCAGTTTCTATTGCACGAAACGATCAAAACGTACGGAAAACTTGACGTTTTGGTGAATAACGCGGGCATCGGATCAATGGCTCAGTTGATGGACAAAGACTTTATGAAATCATACGACAGTGTCTTCAGTATAGACCTGCGGGCAGTGGTTGAGCTCAACCGTCTGGCCGTCCCTTATCTCAATCAAACCAACGGCACTATTATACACATCTCCAGTATGTGTACTCACGCACCCGTATGGCTCACAAACAACAAATTATATTGAATTTTATTGATATGATTTCCATGACTTACCATGATTTCAATACACAGACTAACTATGGTTTAGATTACTCGATGGCCAAAGAGGCCATGAATATGATGACCCGAGTGATGGCTATGGAGTTGGGCCCATTCATTCGTGTTAACACATTAAGGTGATTATTATAAAAATTATTTAACTATATTTTTACTCATTTTTTGTGACAGTC